AGGATACATAAACAGACCCATAACTGAGACAGAAATTGAATCAGTAGTAAAGGCCCTCCAAAGAAAGAAAGCCCAGGACCAGATGGATTCACTGCTGAATTCTACCAGACATTTAAAGAAGAACTAGCTCCAATTCTTCTCAAACTATTCAGAACAATCCAAAAAGAGGGAATCCTCCCAAATTCTTTCTGTGAAGTCAGCATCACCTTAATTCCTAAACTTGAAAAAGATACAGTATTGAAAGAGAATTACAGACCAATTTCCCTGATAAACATAGACACAAAAATCCTCAATAAAATTCTGGCCAATAGAATGCAACAGGTCAGAAATATCATCCATCCAGACCTAGTAGGATTTATCCCTGGTATGCAGGGATCGTTCAATGTAGGCAATTTAATCAATATGATACACTACATTAACAAGCTGCAGAAGAAAAACCATATGATTATCTCAATAGATGCAGAGAAAGCATTCGATAAAATAAACATCCTTTCATGATGAAAACTCTAAGAAAATTGGGTCTAGAAGGATCATTCCTCAATACAATCAAAGCAATTTATGAAAAACCCACAGCCAACATCCTATTGAATGGGGAAAAGTTGGAAGCATTTCCACTGAGATCTGGTACCAGACAGGGATGCTCACTCTCATCACTATTATTCAATATAGTACTAGATTTTGAGCCAGAAACATTAGACAAGAAAAAGAAAATAAAGGGATACAAATTGGGAAGGAAGAAGTCAAACTATCCCTCTTTGCAGATGATATGATTCTTTATTTAGGGGATCCAAAGAAATCTACTAAGAGACTACTGGAACTAAAAGAAGAGTTTGGCAAAGTAGCAGAATATAAAATCAATGCACAAAAATCAACAGCATTTGTATACACAGGACAATGCCATGGCCGAGAATGAACTGCTAAGATCTAACCCATTCACAATAGCTACAAAACAATCAAATAGCTTGGAATAAACTTAACCAAGGATGTCAAAGATTTCTACGATGAGAATTACAAAACCTTAAAGAAAGAAATAGAAGAGGATACCAAAAATTGGAAAAATCTTCCATGCTCATGGATTGGAAGAATCAATATCATCAAAATGTCCATTCTCTCAAAAGCAATTTATAGATTCAATGTGATACCAATCAAAATACCAAAGACATTCTTCTCAGATCTGGAAAAAAAGATGCTGGAATTCATATGGAGATGCAGGAGACCTCGAATAGCTAAAGCAATCTTGTACAACAAAAACAAAGCCAGTGGCATCACAATACCAGATTTCAGGACATACTACAGGGCAGTTATAATCAAAACAGCATGGTACTGGTACAGAAACAGATGAATAGACCAATGGAACAGAATTGAAACACCAGAAATCAATCCAAACATCTACAGCCAACTTATATTGATCAAGGATCTAAAACCAATTCCTGGAGCAAGGACAGTCTATTCAATAAATGGTGCTGGAAAAACTGGATTTCCATGTGCAGAAGCATGAAGCAAGACCCCTACCTTTCACCTTACACAAAAATCCACTCAACATGGACTGAAGATCTAAATCTATGACCTGACATCATCAAATTATTAGAGAACATTGGAGAAACCATGCAAGATATAGGCACAGGCAAAGACTTCTTGGAAAAGACCTGGGAGGCACAGGCAGTCAAAGCCAAAATCAACTATAGGGATTGCATCAAATTGAGAAGTTTCTGTACTGCAAAAGGAACAGTCAGGAAAGTGAAGAGGCAACCAACACAACAGGAAAAAATATTTGCAAACTATGCAACATATAAAGGAATAAATAACCAGAATCTACACAGAGATCAAGAAACTCCACAATAACAAAACAAACAACCCACTTAAGAGATGGGCCTAGGACCTCAATAGACATTTTTCAGGTGAAGAAATCCAAATAGGCAACAGACATATGAAAAAATGTTCAGGATCATCAGGGAAATGCAAATCAAAACCACAATAAGGTTTCACCTCACCCCAGTTAGATTGGCTCACATTCAGAAATCTACCAACAACAGATGCTGGCAAGGATGTGGGGAAAAAGAGGTACACTAACCCACTGTTGGTGGGAATGTAAACTGGTCAAGCCACTATGGAAGTACAGTCTGGAGATTCCTCAGAAACCTGAATATAACCCTACCATACAACCCAACCATTCCACTCCTTGGAATTTACCCAAAGGAAATTAACTTGGCAAATAAAAGAGCTGCCTGCACCTTAAGGTTTATTGCAGCTCACTTCACAATAGCTAAGACCTGGAATCAACCCAAATGCCCAGACTAGATAAACAAATTATGGGACATGTACTCTATAGAATACTATACTGCAGTAAAAAAAAACAAATTAAATCCGGTCATTTGCAATAAAATGAAGGAATCTGGAAAACATCATTCTGAGTGAAATAAGCCAGTCCCCAAGGGAAAAATATCATATGTTCTCCTGATTGGTGACAACTAACCGAGCACCAAAAAGGAAACCTGTTAAAGTGAAATGGACACTATGAGAAACAATGACTTGATCAGCCCTTGTCCTGATTGTCGAGGAACATTTACTACTTTATTCCTTTTAGTATTTTTTTGTTCTACTTAATTCCATTGGTTGAACTCTGTAATTAACACACAATTATTCTTAGGTATTTAAATTTAACTGAAAAGTGATCCCTGTTAAATATATGAGTGGGAATAAGAAAGGGAAGTGATGTACAGTTCAGCACATGCTCAATCAGACTTACCCCCAATGGTAGAGCTAGAAACATGCCAGGGGATTCCAATTCAATCCCATCAAGGTGACATGTACCAATGCCATCTCACTAGTCAAAGTGATCAGCTTCAGTTCATAATTGATCACAATGATAGGATTAAGTGTCAAAGGGATCACATAAACAAGACTAGTGTCTGCTAATACTAACTGATAAAATTAAAAAGGAGAGAACAATCCAACATGGGAAGCGGGATACACAGCAGACTCAGAATGGCAGATGTCCTAAACAGCACTCTGGCTTCAGAATTAGTCCTTAAGGCATTCGGATCTGGCTAAAAAGCCCATGAGAGTATTTCAGGCATGGAAAGCCAAGACACTCTGACAAAAAATAACCTAAATGAAAGATCTCTGTGAGTAGATCACAGCAGAAAGAATGGGCCATCAAAGAAGGAGGTACCTTTCTCTGAAGGGAGGCGAGAACTTCCACTTTGTCTATGACCTTGTCTAAAAAAGATCAGAGTTTGCTGAACTCAAGAGGCATCCATAGCCTTGGCAGCTCATGACAAGAGCCTCGGGTGATTACTGAGGCCGTAAACAAGAGTGTCAATTGTTAAATTTCAACAGGAGTCACTGTGCACTTACTCCCCATGTAGGATCTCTGTCCTTAATGTGTTGTACTATGTGAATTAATAGTATAAATAGTACTCAAACAGTACTTTATACTTTGTGTTTCTGTGTGGGTGCAAATTAGTTGAAATCTTTACTTAGTATATACTAAACTGATCTTATGTATATAAGCATAATTGAAAATGAATCTTGATGTGAATGGGATGGGAGAGGGAATGAGAGATGGGATGGTTGTGGATGGGAGGGTAGTTATGTGGGGGAAAGCCACTATAATCCAAAAGCTGTACTTTGGAAATTTATATTTATTAAATAAAAGTTAAAAACAATATCAGAGAACCCAAGATGTGCTACACTTGAAGTTCTCATTTCCTAGCTCAGTTACTAAAACGGCAAAGAAGAAACCCTGGAATAGAATGAAACTCATATTCACCCTACTTCTTGGAACAATTTAAATACCTTAAGAAAAGCTAGAGGTCAGAATCAAATAACCCTGCTCTCTAAACTTTTAAGCTACAGGAGCTGACTGACAAACTGAGGAAGTCTCCAACTAAATGCAAACTGTAAAAAAAAAAAAAAAAGTTGCAACATGGAAAATTACAAAGACAGGTTGAAAAACTCTAAAAGCAGAGTTCAAAAATAAAAGATCAAAACTTCTTGTCAACTTTTTTCCTAACAGAAAACCTGGTTGTTTTAACATTAACATGTAGGACAAAATTCTAACTTCATGTCAATGTGCCTTTTGTATTAATGCTCTCAATTTCCAGAAACTCATGTGGCCAATTCCATGATAACCTCAGCCAATCTACCACAAATCTACAACACTTTATATTTTCCTCAGCTGATTGTCCTATTTTTTTCCTCTTTCTCCATGCCAAACACCATTATACTTTAGGACAAATATTACTTTTTCCTTTATTCAAAACATATCTCTTATATTCCATAACTTCACTAAAAGTATGTCTGTGTATCATAGTTTTTTAACCTTTGCTCTTAATTTTGGTTACCAAATACTTGTTAGAATTATTCCTTATTCTAAGTAACTTAATTTCTAGCAAAAGCTTAGTAAACAATTTTGAACTCACATACTTCAATAATTGATGAAAGCACAGTTATTTATAGGCCCAGTGCCTTTTATAGAATTTAAGATGTCAAGAGTTCATGAATTTACATTTAGGAACATTTACCTCTTTCAGAGGTTAATCTGGTAATGCACAGCTATAGTAAAAATGGTGGTCCTTACTAGCACTTCTTGCAGGCTTGTGCCAGGTGCTTGGTTGAGGGATCTACACACCTTAACCTTTTTGATCCTCATCACAGCTTTCTGGGGCTTTAACTTTGGTTATCTCTACTTCTCAGTTAAGACATGACAGACATGCCCTGAGTAACTTTCCCTTAGTCACATAGGAGTGGCATGATGGAGTCAGAAATGAAACCCAGGCAGTCTGCTACATATACGTACATATATACACATACACAGGCATGTACATATTCCTCAGTCTGCTATATGTACACATACATATATAGACACATACATATGTGTTCCTCACATCAAATAATAAAGAGCAATTTTTCCAGTAGCCAATGTGACAACTTAAACTCGTAGTGTTTAAAAGCCATAAAACTTACAAATTGAAGATTTCAATGAGATTGGCTTATACCTGCATTGTGTTATCTCTGGTCAGTGTTTTCAGTACCCAGAATAATGCTGACAGAAGTACCATGGCCTTCCCGTTGGGCATTTTGCACTGTCAAATGAATTTTAGCAACAAGTGAGCATAAATTCTAACATGATAAAAAGCTTCAGAATATTAGATAACATTAAATTACCATGTGTAAAATGTTTATGGAAAATATGTATCATGAAAAAGCCATGCATGGATTATCAAAAAATTTTTATACCAAAACAAATGTACAATTTTTCTTCCCACACACTTTTTCAAGTACAATCATGTTGCTCCTGACATTAATTAAAGTAATTAGAAAAAAAAAGCTATCAAATAACAGATAACTCTTCCAAAGCCAAGAAACACTCCTTTAATGAGCCAGAGTGTTCTGCCCCAATTCAGTCCTACAAAGTGACCACAAGCCAAAAAAGGTTTCATTCTCAGCCTAAGTCAAATTCTCCATTTTCTCAAATGCCTTATCAACCCAGTTTTCTTTCAGGTAAGCTCCCTCTCGAATCCCAATATCCTGGAGACCTTTCTTGAAGTTTCCTAATTAACACTGCACTCATGCTCCAGTCCTTTCAGAAAGATCCTCCTCCCAAATTCTCCTTTCCCCCACTTTTCCCAAGGATTTTCCACAGGCCCCATCTCACATATCCCATGCATCCCTGCTATGGCTCTTGCAAAAGTCATCTGCTTTCAGCAATAATATTCTTCCCTTTTCCTATCTATCCTCGGATGGAGACATACACAAACATATTCTCCCGTCTCCCAGCTCTTCCAAGGCACCAAACGCTCCCCCAGAGTTTCCCTCCAGTGCTGTCGACCTTGGTCCTGCACTCTAAACACCGACCTTTTTCTCAGTCTTTCAAATCCAGAAGTGCTGGGGTTTTACTCTTTGCCAACAGCACATGGCTTTCCTTCCAGGTCTACCTTCCATGCCGCCACACCCAAGTCTTATCGGCCCTGATTTCCTGCAGAACCCCAGAGAAACCCAGTCCCCAATATCCCTTCTGCCCCTCCTGTCTCTGTGGCCCCTAATTCTCCTGTAGGCGCCCTCAGACCCCAGATTTCTCCCCATACATGTGGACCCTCTCTGCTGTGGGACAGAGGCCCACCTCACTGCCTGCAGGGCTTGGGGGACCCTTCCCTTAACCTTGATGCCCCCAGGCTGCTGACAGCGTCAGTCCGGCCGGACTGACTCACCTGCTGCTCCTGTCCAGGAGGAAGGCACAGCCGGCCAGGTTAAGCCAACACCGAGCAGCATCTGAAACTCGGAGACGAGCACGTCGTTGTTGAACTTCGGTATCACTTCCAGGTCCAGCTCCAGCCCCGTGTCCTCCAGGGCCCGGCCGACTCCAGCCACTTCTTCTCACGTCTGAGCCTCTGCCGCTGGGACTCCAAGAGGCCTGCTGCCAGCAGACGCTGCGACGGCACTCCACTGAGGTAGGCCCTAGATCTGTCACTGCCTCAAAGATAAACGCAGTCACAAGTCAGCTCCACAGGCCAGCGCCGTGGCCACCACCTCTGCTGCAGTCCCAGGCTCCCCCACGGCAGCCCCAGGCTTCCTCACCACACAGATGCCTGAGGTCTAACTTCACCCCCACCGCCGCTGGGCCCACGCTCAGCGCCCGTTGTTTGGCCACCGCGGCCGCCATCTTCCCACGCTCAACATTGCCTCCTCCCCACACTTCCTCGCTTCCAACGCTGGAGCCTGCAGGACTCATGGCTGCCACCGTCACAGCCTCCCTGCTGTTCAGGGCCGCCCTACTCTTCCTGGCCGTGGCCGCCGCCCCACTCTTCAGGGCAGCCCCACTCTGCATGGACTCGGCCTTCGCCCACGTCCAGAATTCGTAGTTGCTACTTCTGCTGCTTGGTGACGCAGCACGTACTGCGCAAGCGCCACACGCCCGGCCCCACCCCTTCCTCCTGGTCTCTCTCGCCCCCCTCCTACCTTCACTTTCACCTGTCCCGTGGACGCCATGGAGTTGACTGTCTGAGAGCTTTTCCCTTCCCACTGACCCGGGGGCATAGGGCCCTCTTCTGACATCTCTAAGTAGTAAACTTCTACTTCACAGATGTGGTTCAGTTGCCTTGACTCACACTGAATCTAACTTTACTGATGGTCAGAACTCTCTAGAGCGGCCACCTGGTAGGAATAAGCTAGAAACAGATCAGACAAGTCTCCAAGGCATCTGGAAATCTTAATATGTGTCCTGTAAAAGGAACACCTGGTCGTTGGCTGCACACTCCCCTAGGCCATCCGTTCCCTCTGTGACATGTCCTGCCTGGTGGCCAGGGTTCTGTGTGAACTCCTGCATGCTCCTAGACACGGCGTGCACTGCAGTGTCACTAGATGGTGGACAGTATCATTCCCATCCTCTGATGGGACCACTGTTGTATATGCAGTCTGTTGGCGACTGACACGTTGGCACGTGGTGACTGTTTTCTTAGAAGTTCTGTAATGGAGGTTAAAAGCTCCCAGGTGTGTGAGTATCCAGGCCATACCAATTGGGGTTGAATGGTGGAAACCAGGCCCTCGGGGCACATGACTTTCTGTAATTCTTCTCTGATCATTTTCAATGTATGTATATACTGTATTTATTCATTCCCAAATGAAAATTGTGTTTAGAGACATCACAGAGAACAGGACAAAACTATCTGAATTGTTTGTTATAGCCTCCTTTAAGTCAGAAGTTTGTGTTGCTTGTGTTTAACTTCCCAATTCTCAAATAAGAGTTTTTGAAGCTGCTGATCCTTTCTTCCATAGTACAATGGTAATTGATAAGACGAACAATCATAGTTTCAATTATATACATGCATATTTAGAGATTTTTTGAATATGTATTTTTGGCACAATCCACTCTAATTGATCCTTCGAGCTGTTAAAATTTCTTGTTTCACAGTATAGTCGAGAGTGCTTTCCAACACAGATTTTCAACTCTTTCATGTTCATAGAGACAAAATATATTATAAAATCTCCTTTTGTTGCTGCTATACTTCACAATAAAAACAATCTACACACCACTTGAATATCCCTATTTTGAATTTTTTATGTGTTTGTACATAAAGATTGAAATGACAACAAAGAAAACTAGGTTAAAGTAAATGTCAAAGGGGCCAGCACTGTGGTGCAGTGGGTTAATGCCCTGGCCTGACGCGCAAGCATTCCATATGGGTGCTGGTTCTAGTCCCGGCTGTTCCACTTCCAATCCAGCTCTCTGCTATGGCCTGGGAAAGCAGTAGATCATGGCCCAAGTCCTTGGGCCCCTGCACCTGTGTGGGAGACCGGAGGAAGCTCCTGGCTCCTGGCTTCAGATTGGAGCAGCTCCAGCCATAGCATCCATTTGGACAGTGAACCAGCAGATGGAAGACCTTTCTCTCTGTTTCTCCTTCTCACTGTCTGTAACTCTAACTCTCAAATAAATAAATAAAATCTTTTTAAAAAAAATGTAAATGTCAAAGCACATTGTCATGCTCTAGTACTTAACAATCTGATTAAAGAAAAGTTAATAAAAGTCATAGCTTTTTAAAATTACAATTGTTTGAAATATTAATTTTTAATAACTTGCATATGCATGAAACTTTTGAGGACCTTCCTCTTACATACAGTGGTAGAGCAAAGCCTGAACATCTGCATATTGTAATAAAAGGATAGAAGTAGCACTATGCATGAAGCACTTCACTAAAGAGCCTGAAGGCATAAGATTCTAATGTTAACAATTTGGAAAAGAGTGTCACTGGGCCAGCATTGTGGTATAGCAGGTTAAGCCATTGCTTGCAAAGCCAGAGACCCATATGGGTGCTAGCTCCTTTGTGGCCACTCCACTTCTGATCCAGCCCCCATGTGTGAGGCCTGGATGAAACTCCTGGCTCCTGGCTTCAGTCTGGCCCAGCCCTGGCCATTGTGGCCATTTGTGGAGTGAACCAGCTGAGGGAGATTTCTATCTCTCTATTTCTCCCTATCACTCTATAAGTTTGCCTTTCAAATACATAGATAGATATTTTAAGAAGGGAAAGAGTGGCATTTTCAAACTCAAAGAGAAAAGGAGTTTGCCTACAGTTTATATGGTAGTTGATATGGCTACATTATTGGCTGCACTTGTTAATTCTAAATCACTATACATACATTCTGAAGCAGAATTATGTGAAGGGAATTAAGATTCTCACTGTTAAGGAGGGAGTAGAGATGATGAGTAAGGAAGAATGAAGCATGTAATATTGAACTAAATATATAGTATAAATTCATGTTTTCTTAATATGTTACCAAAAGCAAGGTAAAGTTTCTCTCTGCTTGCAAACCAATATTTAAGAGTCAAGAACTGATGCATGAAAGCAGGTTAATTCAAGAAGCCAGAAATGTTGGGAGAAGGAGGATGTGATTTTCACCAAGACAATTGCAGCATCTCAGGGTAGCAGGATTGTTTCAGATGAGACCAGAATGGGGAATCAGGAATAAGGGGCATCAATGATAGGCCCTGCTGCATGTTGGGCTCTGGCAGAAAATAAGGGGGCTGGTCAGAGTCAAAGAGGTTAAGTTTGAGCCTGTAGTCACAAACCCCAGCCTCTGGTCCTGCTGACTGGGGTAGCTATATTACTTGGCAAATTCAGCTGACTTTCTCAAGATCATATTCTAAAATCCTTAAGCAGGCATAACTTGTTTCTTAAGCATAAGTTTAGTCACAAAGACAACAGTTTTTACAAAGCAAAATGGAGTCATTTGGGCTATTATCACAGTTAAAATGCTACATGTAAAATCTTTACTGCTATGTGTATTATAATGAAGAGTAAGGTTCTGGTGTTTTGTTTTTTTTTTTTAATTTTAACTGGGGCATCTTTGAAGCCTCACCCAAGTGACTTCTACTACTTTTCTACATCCAGAGAGGCTGTTAAGAAAACCCAAGTGTTCCTTCTTTGCACCAGTAGTTCAAGTCAAACACAGGGTCCTTCATCCCAGCCCAAATTGTAACCCTTACAAAACCAGAAACAAATCTCCTTTCCCTGCTATTTCAAGTTATGTGTTTGAACCTCCTGGGAAGCCACTCTTCTCTCTCCAGAAATTCATTTTGTGTGAAATAACACATAACAAATTCTCATAGTCTCTTTATGTGTGTGTGTGCACACATGGAATCATTGTTCTCCATATTCAAACAAATTTTGAGAGTCATGTTTGTTTCTACACAATGGCAATAACATGTATCCACATAGGTTACTTAATATGGTTACTCCTGCTATTAACTGAGTGGGCCTAAAAGTAACTTGTTCTCTGTAACAACATGCATACCTCATAATCTGATCCTCAATTTTCATGCCATTCTCCAATTAAAGGCACCCAAACTCTTCAGATGAATGACTGAGTTAAGATGAGGCAAGTAATATACAAAATAAGCCAGGAACATCTTGCAGCACTAGAAATAAATAAGTGCTAAAAAGAAATGGTTGTGAGTATGGCCAAGGATACAGAAACCAATTGAAAAACCTCCTGATGGCCAAAGTTGGAATATGTCCATAAGAAAGTAAATGAAATATCATTGGAATATACCCAGGAAATAAAATAGCTATCTATAAATCTATACTTATAGAAACAACTGGATGCATAAATAATTATGACAGAGTATAAAAACCCTATGCAGAAGAGTTTAGATAATTTACATGTCAACTCTGCTGTCATGGAGAAATTACAGCATTCCAAACTGCTAGTGTAAGCTGTTCAAAATAGCCTTCATCTAAAAGTAACAGATGTAGCCAATGTTGTTGTGCAGCAAGTTAAGCTGCTGTGAGCAATGCTACCATCCCATATTAGAGTACTGATTTGATTCCCAGCTACTCCATTTCCAATCCAGCTTCCTGATAATATGCTTCCCCGGGTTGGGAATGGGAAGGGCAACAGAAGATGGGTCAAGCATTTGGACTCCTGCCATCAATGTAAGAGACCCGGGTAGAGTTCTAGGCTATTGGCTTCAGCCTATAGTAACCTTGGCTGCTGCAGGCATTTAGGGAGTGAATTATTTCTGCCTATTGCCAGGTTGGTCCAGCTACCCCTGTGTGTTTGGAGATAAAAATCTACTCAGAGACAGATTCAGGTGGAAACAACATGAGGGCCAGGGGACTGCAGATTCACAGGTCTGAGCCCTGCATTTCAATGTTCATATACTTTTATTTGCTTTACGTGGATCAGGGTTGAGGGTCAGGTAGCCTAAACAATCTCTTGTGTAGGCTATGGCCTTTTGCATGCTCTAGGTTGGCCTCTGCAGCCACAAGTCTTGCCTGTTTCTCCCTGCCTCCAACCTTTCACATACATTTTAGAAAACCAAGAATTTTTCAGAAGTGGTTGTTAAGAGAATGACAAGTCAGCTACTAAAATGTTCAAAGCACGAGGGAGGGAGTAGTTGGTGATAGAATATGATGCCATCACCTTCAATGGCTTCCAATGCCTTTATTGCTCA